AATCCCACCTTGTGTAGACAACAGGATATAACAAAACTATAACTATTTGTACGTCATACAAGTCTTCTGTTAAACTCGACATTGACAGCGCCCACCCAAAAAATACTAGAATTCAATAAAATCACGACTTTAACCGTAGATCTCCGTTAGTCAATACCGCCCACCACGGCTGTATTTTACTAGAAAAACGCCGTAGAAAATCCTGTCTACAAAAACAAAAGCCTGTTTTCAATTAAAACAAGTACAGATGTATATAATAAATGTGCAGTAGATTAAATGGTCAGAGATGAAGTTGTCAGCTGTTGTGATTTTTACTGAAGAGATGCACTGGCAGGACATCGTCAATTTGTGAGGTTGGGTGAATACCAATCGAGTGAGCTGGATATTGTGTGTGGAGTGCCTCAGGGTTCTGTTTTGGGACCTAAATTATTTATATTATACATTAATGATATATGCAAGGTTTCTGATTTAGTGAAAGTGGTTTTGTTTGCTGATGACACTACCATATGGGCATCGGGTGAAAACCTACAGCAACTCTCTGGACTGGTTTCACAGGAACTTGAGAAGATAAAGAAATGGTGTGACAGTAATATAGTATCTCTGAATTTGGATAAAACTAAATTTATGGTATTTGGGAATCGTAGACTAGATAATGAACTTCAATTGAAAATTGGGGGAGCCAATATAGAACGAGTATATGAAATTAAATTTCTAGGTGTCATAGTTGATGACAAATTCTCCTGGAAATCGCATATTAGATATGTTCAGAATAAAATAGCAAAAAATATATTGATATTGGCAAGGGTTAGATATATTTTGGACGGGAAAGCACTACGTATTTTGTATTCTTCATTGATTTTACCATACTTAGAGTATGGCGTTGAAAACTGGGGAAATACATACAAAAGCTCACTTCAACCATTGTATATATTACAAAAAAGAGCGATAAGAATTGTGCATAAGTTGGGGTATAGGGATCACACCAATGTAGCTTTCATACAGTCTAAATTGTTACAATTTTTTGATTTAGTGGGATATAAGACTGCAGTGTTTATGTATAAAGCCAGGAGCAATTTATTACCTGGTGGAATTCAAAAACTATTTAATGAAAGGGATGGGGGATACAATTTAAGGGGTCAGTTAAATTTAAAAATTCATGCTATACGTACAACCAAAAAAAGATTTTGTATTTCCATAAGTGGGGTAAAACTATGGAATAATTTAAGTGTAGACATAAAAAATAGTAATAGAATTGACGAGTTTAAACATAAATATAAAGGTATGTGTCAATCAAGATATATGCAAGAACAGGCTCAATGATTAATTAGATGGAACATTGTGGGTGTGGTGTATGAATGTTAACACTCTGTAATAATTCTTTAGTATATTACTTGTGTGGTGTAGAAGATAATTATTTAAGAATGTAATTATGTAAGAATGTTAACACTCTGTCATAATTTTTTTAGTATATTACTTGTGTGGTGTAGAAGATAATTATTTATGTAGAGATAAACTGCTTGCAAACCAATGATGGTAAGATGATGTCATGGGGTAGGACTGGATAAGTCTGAGTTCTTCCTACTCCATTCAAGCATGTACTAGGTATAAGCAAATCAAATCAAATATAGTGTCAGTTTGGATAAGATATGAATGTATGCATTGCAGCTGTGAA